ATAATGGATGTGCGTGTGTGTTATGTATGTGTGTGTATGTGATGGATGTGGGTGTGTGTATGTGATGCGTGATGTATGTGTGTGTATGTGATGTATGTGTGTGTATGTGATGGATGTGGGTGTGTGTGATGTATGTGTGTGTGTGTGATGGATGTGGGTGTGTGTGTGTGTGATGTATGTGTGTGTATGTGATGTATGTGTGTGTATGTGATGGATTGTGTGTATGTGATGTATGTGTGTGTATGTGATGTATGTGTGTGTATGTGATGTATGTGTGTGTATGTGATGGATGTGCATGTGTGTGTGTGATGGATGTGGGTGTATGTGATGGATGTGGGTGTGTGTGTATGTGATGTATGTGTGTGTATGTGATGTATGTGTGTGTATGTGATGTATGTGTGTGTATGTGATGTATGTGTGTGTATGTGATGGATGTGCATGTGTGTGTGTGATGTATGTGTGTGTATGTGATGGATGTGTGTGTATGTGATGTATGTGTGTGTATGTGATGTATGTGTGTGTATGTGATGGATGTGCGTGTGTGTGTGTGATGTATGTGTGTGTATGTGATGTATGTGTGTGTATGTGATGGATGTGCATGTGTGTGTGTGATGTATGTGTGTGTATGTGATGGATGTGTGTGTATGTGATGTATGTGTGTGTATGTGATGTATGTGTGTGTATGTGATGGATGTGCGTGTGTGTGTGTGATGTATGTGTGTGTATGTGATGTATGTGTGTGTATGTGATGGATGTGCATGTGTGTGTGTGATGTATGTGTGTGTATGTGATGGATGTGTGTGTATGTGATGTATGTGTGTGTATGTGATGTATGTGTGTGTATGTGATGGATGTGCGTGTGTGTGTGTGATGTATGTGTGTGTATGTGATGTATGTGTGTGTATGTGATGGATGTGTGTGTATGTGATGTATGTGTGTGTATGTGATGGATGTGCGTGTGTGTGTGTGATGTATGTGTGTGTATGTGATGTATGTGTGTGTATGTGATGGATGTGCGTGTGTGTGTGTGATGTATATGCGTGTGTGTGATGTATATGCGTGTATGTGATTTATGTGCGTATAATATGATGTATGTGCGTATAATATAATGTAGGCCAATTAAACGAGTGTTGATTATTTATACATTGTACTTGATGTACGCGACGACGTGGTGGAATGGTAGAGCGTTCGGCTACCATCCCGAAGGTCTCGAGTTCAGATCTCGGGACTGTTTGACCTCTCTGAGTCCGCCCAGCTTTTGTGGGTACCTGGGGAAAAGTAAAGGCGGCTGACCACACCACCCCTTCATATACAGAAATCAAGAAACTTAAACTCTACTTCATCTGCCATACGGATGTTTATGTGTAAAAGGGGAGTTTCACATTACGTGATGCTATACATGTATGACATCCTAAAATGTGAAGCAAATGTCGGTTTAGATGGCGTGTGTTCACTTTAATGAAGCAAAAGGGGTTTAAATGACGTATGCTAATTTTAAGCTGCTCAAAATGACCAGTTCCTTAATTATTGACGTCACCACTCCACGTTAGATACCAAAAATGGAAATAATTTAATGAATTTCGTTTCGTTACATTAGCTTGAAACTTTTAACTCTCACAGACCGCGCTGTTTACTTTGGGATCGTGTAAAATAAAAACTGGAAAATTTCTACAAAATAAACATCAAACCCAGTATGGTTTTAATGGAACGAATTTTGATTGATTTTTTATTTCTAGTTGTCATTAAGGGGATTAAAATAGTCCAATAGAAAATAGGAGAACCAAAGTGTGGAAAGCGTGGCAAGTCCCATTCTGGTTTTAAAAACAACAACCTTTGAAGTGTGAAACTAATTAAAGTAATATTTTAAGGGTCGTAGCAAGGCTTATGTCTATAGAATTAAAAGATAATAATAAAACCCTCACCCTCCCCCCCCCCCACTAGTATATTCTCTTATCTATCACATAGTTTAGGGGATGGTCTTTATGGCAACACTATTGGGACTTTTACAACATAATGTACCCTGTATGGTCTTTTGCTGGTTTCAATGTGACTGGTACAGTCCATGGTGTCACTACTGGTACAGTCGATGATGTCATCTACTGGTACAGTCCGTTATGTCATCTACTGGTACAGTCTGTGATGTCACTACTGGTACAGTAACCCACTGGTACAGTCGGTGAAGCCATTACTGCTCCAGTCGGTGATGTCACTACTGGTACAGTCCGTGATGTCACTACTGGTACAGTCCGTGATGTGACTACTGGTACAGTCGATGATGTCATCTACTGGTACAGTCTGTGATGTCACTACTTGTACAGCCGATGATGTCACTACTGGTACAGTCCGTGATGTCACTACTGGTACAGTCGGTGATGTCATCTACTGGTACAGTCTGTGATGTCACTACTGGTACAGCCGATGATGTCACTACTGGTACAGTCCGTGATGTCACTACTGGTACAGTCGGTGATGTCATCTACTGGTACAGTCGATGACGTCACCCACTGGTACAGTCGATGATGTCACTACTGATACAGTCGGTGATGTCATCTACTGGTACAGTCCATGATGTCACCACTGGTACAGTCGATGATGTCACCCACTGGTACAGTCCATGATGTCATCTACTGGTACAGTCCATGATGTCACCACTGGTACAGTCCGTGATGTCACTACTGGTACAGTCGATGATGTAACTACTGGTACAGTCGATGATGTCACTACTGGTACAGTCGATGATATCACTACTGGTACAGCCGATGATGTAACTACTGGTACAGTCCGTGATGTCACCCTTCTGGCCCCGAGACTGCCTACGATTGTCCGTTAAATGGTGTCACGTGTTCGTACCACCTGACATTTTCGTCACAACTGACAACACTAAGCGATTTCTCGAAGCACTAATCACATTGATGACTCGTTCGCGGTGCAAACAGTTTCTGTGTAAACAGAGCAGAGTTTCTTCCAGGCATCTCTTCGGGGGGGCTTTGCCCCCCCGAAAATTTTTTACCGCCCCCCCCGAACGAAATGAAATTTATATAATTTATATAGAAAATATATACTTTTAACAGTGTCCGCCCCCCCGAAGAAAGTTTACCGCCCCCCCGAAGATTTCAAGTGCCCCCCCGGAGAAAAAAGTCTGGAAGAAACACTGAAACAGAGTATGAAATCTCTACCTTCAAAAAAAATCCTACTAGAAACTGTTCAGCATAATAGAACACCATTGTTGAAACTTGAATACAAAACTAGAATTCACTGGCCGCCATTATTATATGATACTCTAGTCCAGGGGTCTCCAAACTACGGCCCACGGGCCGCATGCGGCCCGCGAGGTCTTCTCATCCGGCCCTCGGAGATGTTTTTGTCTATGGCAAAAAGTTTGTTGGAGGTGGCTGAGAAAAAAATCAAAAGAAACTGAAAATGTAGCATTGGGTGCAAATACCATTGAAGCAAATGTTGCCTAGCAAATGACCTCCTAAAGACAAGTTCAAAGTAAGGCGGGTGGGTACTTGAAATTTGTATGTATATATATATATATATATATATATATATATATATATATATATATATATATATATATATATATATATATATATATATATATATATTTATATATATATATATATATATATATTCCGTTGGGGGGGGGGGGGTAGGGCTCGCCACCACGAAGAGATGCCTGGAAGAAACTCTGGCCCCAGAACTAATGTTTGATAGTTAGTGCGGCCCTCGGGCTGAGAAGTTTGGAGACCCCTGCTCTAGTCTAAAACTAACACACGATACTCAAGAATTAATTATAACTCGCGAACAAATCAAATGTTACCCCAGATAAAATCTAGGACAAAATCTAGGACGAAATCAAGGATAAAATTAAGGACAAATTTAGGGTAAAATCAAGGATAAAATCATCAAGGACAAAATCAAGGACAAAATCTAGGAAAAAAACATAAAAACATAAAACACTAAAAAAACAAAACGCGTAGGTGTTCTACTTCCTAATTAAATTGTTCTAAAAACTTTTATTTATCCCACCTTAGATACCACCTTCAAAATCTGTCTCTAAATTCAAACGATCACTCCTACGACAGCCCTTTAGCACTACTCCACCCCACCCCCGCACACAGCACCAACTGTCACCAAGCCTCCACGCCCACGCCTCCCCCTACAGCTAGAAGCCCTACAACATCACCACCCACACAAAAAAAAAAAAAAAAAAAAAATCACACCCACCCGTCCCTGTCGTCTGCTGTAAGAAACGGAACAATCCGCTAATTCCCCTTTCAACAAGTTCATTATCCGAGTTCTTACATGAACACTCTCTCAGAGACGGGTTCAGTTGCCAGGATTAAAAGCAGTGAACAAAGAAATCTGGCAAGCTGTGACCGAGATTAGCAGTGTCAAAAACCTTTTGAAGGGTCTGATTGGCTGATTGGGTTGATGATTTTTTTTTCTATGGAACTATTTTTACTCGCTCGTCGGCCATTTTCTATAGAACGTTGGAGTTTTGACGCTGGGTATTAATGGCGGTATATATATATATATATATATATATACATATATATATATATATATATATATATATATATATATATATATATATATAGGGGGGGGAGGGTCCGAAAAAATCGACTATTGTGGACGCGTGTGGACTGGGTGGAGGGGGGGGGGGTGTGTCTAAGATCGCAAATTTTTGTGAACGTCATAAATGGATGACACCTATGTGTGTGTCTTCTATACGGTTTGCATGTGTGTTTATTGTTGTATGTGGTTGTGCGTATGCAATGCAGTATTGCAGATAGTCTTGTGTATTGCGTATCACTGTATGTTTGTTTTACAATGTGTGTATGTTTGCGTTACTGTGTGTGTTTGTGTTACTGTGTGTGTGTGTGGTTGTGCTATTGTATGTGTGTTTGTGTTTGCGTTTCTATGTGCGTGTGTGTTTATTTTAACCCCTATAAATCAGTAACACCCCCCATCCCATCCCCCTCCATTTTTTCCAGGTGACCTGACCGGAAGCCGCCATGACTGGAGAGTGTGAGAACACCGGAAGTGAGTGCACGGAGGACAGCAACACGGTGGCAGCTGCGTCAAGTAAGATGCGCACTGGCTCTGGTTATTTTCTCCACAAAAGGAGAGACATTTTTTGTCTAAAACGAATGTCATGTAGGGCTACATGTAGCCTAGATTTAGGGCTACAGGCCAAGTACTTGAAACAGTCAAACCCGCGAATCTAAGATCAGGACTGTTGTTTGCTAATATGTATAGGTGACGTAGAGTTCCATCGCTACTTGTATCATTCTATTCGATTAGCAGACCCACTATATCACTCAAATTCCAACTTCGATTAGCAGACCCATTATATCGCACAAATTCCAACTTCGATCAGCAGACCCACTATATCGCTCAAATTCCTACTTCGATCACAGACCCACTATATCGCTCAAATTCCTACTTCGATCAGCAGACCCACTATATCGCTCAAATTCCTACTTCGATCAGCAGAACCACTATATCGCTCAAATTCCTACTTCGATCACAGACCCACTATATCGCTCAAATTCCTACTTCGATCAGCAGACCCACTATATCGCTCAAATTCCTACTTCGATCAGCAGACCGACTATATCGCTCAAATTCCTACTTCAATCAGCAGACCCACTATATCGCTCAAATTCCTACTTCGATCAGCAGACCCACTATATCGCTCAAATTCCTACTTCGATCAGCAGACCCACTATATCGCTCAAATTCCTACTTCGATCAGCAGACCGACTATATCGCTCAAATTCCTACTTCGATCAGCAAACCCAATATATCGCTCAAATTCCAACCCTGTGCCACAACCATCTATACAAAGCGCCAGACAAACTTATTCTCTTTTTCCACACCATATTTTAAAACATTCACCATTCTTTTCCTTTGCTGACTTATGTCAAAAGTATATTTGCATCAAATTCTTCCTCTTAGACAAATCTTGCCCTTTCAACCCCGCTTACGTCACAAACAACTACTAGTTATAACACCTGTATAGAATTTTAATTTACAACAACTACCAGCTATAACACCTGTATAGAATTGTAATTTACAGCAACCACCAACTATAACACCTGTATAGATTTGTAATTTACAACAAGCACTAGCTATAACACCTAAATAGAATTGTAATTTACAACAGCCACCATATAACACCTGTATAGAATTGTAATTTACAGCAACCACCAACTATAACACCTGTATAGATTTGTAATTTACAACAAGCACTAGCTATAACACCTAAATAGAATTGTAATTTACAACAGCCACCATATAACACCTGTATAGAATTGTAATTTACAGCAACCACCAACTATAACACCTGTATAGAATTTTAATTTAAAATAACCACCTGCTATAACACCTGTATATAATTGTAATATAATATCTGTATAGAATTGTAATTTGCCAAGACACTGAGTACAAAAATGGCCATCTTCTTCGGCCATTTTGACATTTCAATTTCGCATTCAGTACGCATGCGCCAACGGAAGCTGTTAGCGGCAGAACTAGGGTAATTGTGACAAAGTGCCAGAATACAGAGTGCTAGGTGCTAATGGAATAATTGGTGCAGATATTTTTTTTCTGCCATCCCATATTTTTAGCACGTTTCTCCTCTGTATTGCCACGTCATTGGGTAGACGCAAGTGGACATATATTAAAACAAAAGGTCGTGAACTCGAGACAATTGATATAATTCTACAGATAAGGTAATTAGAGAAAATCAGACAAGATGATTGGATAGTGATTTGACAATTGTGTAATTATAAACTGTTCAGCCTGTTTCGGTTAATTACTTTAGCCGGCTAATCTATGAACATTAAAGTTCATGTGAACAAAATGTCAGCAGACATACACTAACAGACATTTGACTTTATCAGGACACGTGTAGTGTATGTCATCACTTCCCCCACCCCCACCCCCACCCCGGCGAAGAAGCTTGACTCAGATGCCACGTTGGCCGCTTGGTCGAGTGGCCAGATAAGAGAAGTGACATCGCAATGTGGGATTGCTGTAATGCTTCTCTTCTGGGAATGTCATTTGATTGGATGGCGCAGAACCGAAAATGTGTTTTTAAACAAATTATATTTTAAACTGAAGTATATCTTTTTTTTTCAATGAGTATTCTAGATACTCTACTGCACCCCACTGAATCATGTTGACATGTAAGTCTTGGATTCATGTTAAATTATGGCATACGTTCCTTGCTCGATTGTGCCTTAATTTTTAATGCATTGCTTTTGATGAGCGTGCTGTAGCCTCTAATTCTCTTTGTTGCAGATGGGCTACCTTACCTCATCCTCATCATCACTCTCGTGCTCTGCTCCATCCTCCTCGCGACTATCGCACTCATCATCATCGTCGTCGTCACCAGGCACAGGCGAAAGTGAGTATCTGTTGGCCAGGTGTGTCTGTTGGCCAGGTAATGTGTATCTGTTGGCCAGGTAATGTGTGTCTGTTGGCCAGAAATTGTGTATCTGTTGGCCAGGTAATGTGTGTCTGTTGGCCAGGTAATGTGTATCTGTTGGCCAGGTAATGTGTATCTGTTGGCCAGGTAATGTGTGTCTGTTGGCCAGAAATTGTGTATCTGTTGGCCAGGTAATGTGTGTCTGTTGGCCAGGTAATGTGTATCTGTTGGCCAGGTAATGTGTATCTGTTGGCCAGGTAATGTGTGTCTGTTGGCCAGAAATTGTGTATCTGTTGGCCAGGTAATGTGTGTCTGTTGGCCAGGTAATGTGTATCTGTTGGCCAGGTAATGTGTGTCTGTTGGCCAGGTAATGTGTGTCTGTTGGCCAGGTAATGTGTGTCTGTTGGCCAGGTAATGAGTATCTGTTGGCCAGGTAATGTGTATCTGTTGGCCAGGTAATGTGTGTCTGTTGGCCAGAAATTGTGTATCTGTTGGCCAGGTAATGTGTGTCTGTTGGCCAGGTAATGTGTATCTGTTGGCCAGGTAATGTGTGTCTGTTGGCCAGGTAATGTGTGTCTGTTGGCCAGGTAATGTGTGTCTGTTGGCCAGGTAATGTGTATCTGTTGGCCAGGTAATGTGTGTCTGTTGGCCAGGTAATGTGTGTCTGTTGGCCAGGTAATGTGTGTCTGTTGGCCAGGTAATGTGTGTCTGTTGGCCAGGTAATGTGTGTCTGTTGGCCAGGTAATGTAAGTCTGTTGGCCAGGTAATGTGTGTCTGTTGGCCAGGTAATGTGTGTCTGTTGGCCAGGTAATGTGTGTCTGTTGGCCAGGTAATGTGTGTCTGTTGGCCAGGTAATGTGTGTCTGTTGGCCAGGTAATGTGTGTCTGTTGGCCAGGTAATGTGTGTCTGTTGGCCAGGTAATGTGTGTCTGTTGGCCAGGTAATGTGTGTCTGTTGGCCAGGTAATGTGTGTCTGTTGGCCAGGTAATGTGTGTCTGTTGGCCAGGTAATGTGTGTCTGTTGGCCAGGTAATGTGTGTCTGTTGGCCAGGTAATGTGTGTCTGTTGGCCAGGTAATGTGTGTCTGTTGGCCAGGTAATGTGTATCTGTTGGCCAGGTAATGTGTGTCTGTTGGCCAGGTAATGTGTGTCTGTTGGCCAGGTAATGTGTGTCTGTTGGCAAGGTAATGTGTGTCTGTTGCGATGTCAAAAAACTATATCAGGTGTCTTGTGATCTGCTAGTGTAGCCTACAGTTTGACTCAACCCCCACCACACACCTCAACATACTTATACTATTGCTTTATCTTCTATCGGTACATCCCTTGCCCTCAATTCCTGACCCGTCCACCCCTCACAAATGGACTCGTCTATACTACCTACCCAACTAACCAATGCGTGAGCGAGCACACAGCTGGGATCCCTGCCATCCTCCGTTAATCCTGCACTGTCCACCATCTGTCCGAGTTAATCAGGTCAAGTGAAGCTGCGTACGGGTATCACGTGACCAACTTCCGAGTGTACGACAGACCATTCAAATAGTTCCTTAGACCAAAGACTGAATGGGCTTTCATGGGAACACACACACACACACACATATATATATATATATATATATATATATATATATATATATATATATATATATATATATATATATATATATATATATATATAGTAATTGTGAAAGTACAATAAACCTACATGTCTACCAATTGAAAAACCGAGCACTTCTCTAATTCCGTCATCTGATTGGGCTGGTTGAGCTCTCTCACACACACTCACACAGACACACACACACACACCCACACACACACTGATTACATGTGGGTTACACGTAACCGTAGATTTGATTTGTTTTAATACGTCACTTCCTGGCCCTGGCCAACTTGAATAATAGCTCTCAGTGTGGCCTAGGGGGGGGGGGCAGCGTATAAGTACATGTGGAGGTTCTAGAACTTTGGGGGGGGGGGTGGCAGTTGTGTATAAGTACATGTACAGGTTCTAGAACTTTGAGGGGGGGGTGGCAGTTGTGTATAAGTACATGTGGCTATAGAGGTTCTAGAACTCTGGGGGGGGGGGGGGTAGTTGTGTATAAGTACATGTAGAGGTTCTAGAACTTTGGGGGGGGGGGGGTGGCAGTTGTGTATAAGTACAAGTAGAGGTTCTAGAACTTTGGGGGGGGGGGGGTGGCAGTTGTGTATAAGTACATGTGGCTATAGAGGTTTTAGAACTCTGGGGGGGGGTGGTAGTTGTGTATAAGTACATGTAGAGGTTCTAGAACTTTGGGAGGGGGGGGGTGGCAGTTGTGTATAAGTACAAGTAGAGGTTCTAGAACTCTGGGGGGGGGGGGTGGCAGTTGTGTATATGTACATGTATAGGTTCTACAACTCTGGGGGGGGGGTAGGGGTGGCAGTTGTGTATAAGTACATGTAGAGGTTCTAGAACTTTGGGGTGGGGGGTGGGGTGGCAGTTGTGTATAAGTACATGTAGAGGTTCTAGAACTTTGGGGGGGGGGAGGTGGGGTGGCAGTTGTGTATAAGTACATGTAGAGGTTCTAGAACTTAGGGGGGGGGTGGCAGTTGTGTATAAGTACATGTAGAGGTTCTAGGACTCTGGGGGTGGGGGGGTGGCAGTTGTGTACAAGTACATGTAGAGGTTCTAGAACTTTGGGGGGGTGGCAGTTGTGTATAAGTACATGTAGAGGTTCTAGAACTTTGAGGGGGGGGGGGTGGGGTGGCAGTTGTGTATAAGTACATGTAGAGGTTCTAGAACTTTGGGGGGGGGTGGGGTGGCAGTTGTGTATAAGTACAAGTAGAGGTTCTAGAACTTAGGGGGGGGTGGCAGTTGTGTATAAGTACATGTAGAGGTTCTAGAACTTTGGGGGGGGGGGGTGGCAGTTGTGTATAAGTACATGTGGCTATAGAGGTTCTAGAACTCTGGGGGGGGGGGGTGGTAGTTGTGTGTAAGTACATGTAGAGGTTCTAGAACTTTGGGGGGGGGGGTGGCAGTTGTGTATAAGTACAAGTAGAGGTTCTAGAACTCTGGGGGGGGGGTGGCAGTTGTGTATAAGTACATGTGGCTATAGAGGTTCTAGAACTCTGGGGGGGGGGTGGTAGTTGTGTATAAGTAGATGTAGAGGTTCTATAACTTTGGGGGGGGGGGGTGGCAGTTGTGTATAAGTACATGTAGAGGTTCTAGAACTCTGGGGGGGGGGGGGGTGGCAGTTGTGTATAAGTACATGTGGCTATAGAGGTTCTAGAACTCTGGGGGGGGGGGTGGTAGTTGTGTATAAGTACATGTAGAGGTTCTAGAACTTTGGGGGGGGGGGGGGTTGGAGTGGCAGTTGTGTATAAATACATGTAGAGGTTCTAGAACTTTGGGGGGGGGGGTGGGGTGGCAGTTGTGTATAAGTACATGTAGAGGTTCTAGAACTTAGGGGGGGGGGGGGGTTGGCAGTTGTGTATAAGTACATGTAGAGGTTCTAGGACTCTGGGGGTGGGGGGTGGCAGTTGTGTACAAGTACATGTAGAGGTTCTAGAACTTTTGGGGGGGGGGTGGCAGTTGTGTATAAGTACATGTAGAGGTTCTAGAACTTTGAGGGGGGGGGTGGCAGTTGTGTATAAGTACATGTAGAGGTTCTAGAACTTTGGGGGGGGGTGGCAGTTGTGTATGAGTACATGTAGATGTTCTAGAACTCTGGGGGGGGTTGGGGGTGGCAGTTGTGTATAAGTACATGTAGAGGTTCTAGAACTCTGTGGGGGGTGGGGGGGGGTGGGGGTGGCAGTTGTGTATATGTACATGTATAGGTTCTACAACTCTGGGGGGGGGGGTGGGGGTGGCAGTTGTGTATAAGTACATGTAGAGGTTCTAGAACTCTGGGGGGGGGGGGTGGCAGTTGTGTATAAGTACATGTAGAGGTTCTAGGACTCTGGGGGGGGGGGGTGGCAGTTGTGTATAAGTACATGTAGAGGTTCTAGGACTCTGGGGGAGGTGGGGGGGGGGGTTGGAGTGGCAGTTGTGTATAAGTACATGTAGAGGTTCTAGAACTTTTGGGGGGGGGGGGTGGCAGTTGTGTATAAGTACATGTAGAGGTTCTAGAACTTTGAGGGGGGGGGGTGGCAGTTGTGTATAAGTACATGTAGAGGTTCTAGAACTTTGAGGGGGGGATGGCAGTTGTGTATAAGTACATGTAGAGGATCTAGAACTTTGGGGGGGGGGGGGTGGCAGTTGTGTATAAGTACATGTAGAGGTTCTAGAACTTTAGGGGGGGGGGGTGGCAGTTGTGTATAAGTACATGTAGAGGTTCTGGAACTTTGGGGGGGGGGTGGCAGTTGTGTATAAGTACACGTAGAGGTTCTAGAACTTTGGGGGAGGGGTGGCAGTTGTGTATAAGTACATGTAGAGGTTCTAGAACTTTGGGGGGGGGGAGGTGGGGTGGCAGTTGTGTATAAGTACATGTAGAGGTTCTAGAACTTAGGGGGGGGGGGTGGCAGTTGTGTATAAGTACATGTAGAGGTTCTAGGACTCTGGGGGTGGGGGGTGGCAGTTGTGTATAAGTACATGTAGAGATTCTGGAACTCTGGGGGGGGTGGCAGTTGTGTATAATTACATGTACAGGTTCTAGAACTTTGGGGGGGGGGTGGCAGTTGTGTATAAGTACATGTAGAGGTTCTGGAACTTGGTGGGGGGGGGGGTGGCAGTTGTGTATAAGTACATGTAGAGGTTCTAGAACTCTGGGGGGGGGGGGGGGGGATGGCAGTTGTGTATAAGTACATGTAGAGGTTCTAGGACTCTGGGGGGGGGGGTGTGGCAGTTGTGTATAAGTACATGTAGAGGTTCTAGAACTTTGGGGGTGGCAGTTGTGTATAAGTACATTTGGCTATAGCGGTTCTAGGACCAGTGTTTCTTCCAGACTTTTTTCTCCGGGGGGGGGGGGGGCACTTGAAATTTTCGGGGGGGGGGGGCGATAGACTTTCTTCGG